GCTTGTGCACCCATAAAGGTTTCTGGGTCAAATGGATTGCCAACTTTGATGCTTTCAGCTGCTTTCTTGAACTTGGCCAAAACCTCGTCATAGACACCAGATTGGATCAAAACACGTGAACCAGCACAGCAAACTTCACCTGAGTTGTAAAAGATAGCCATCACTAAATTTTGAATAGTGCGATCAATGTCAGCATCATTGAAAACAATATTTGGTGATTTACCTCCCAATTCCAAAGTAACTTTCTTCAAGTTGGATTCAGCAGCTGCTTTCATTATTTTTCGTCCAACCGCAGTTGATCCGGTAAATGCAACCTTTTCCAATTTAGGATGTGATGCAATAGCAGCACCTGCAGGGTTACCGAAACCAGAGATGATGTTGACAACACCCTTTGGCATACCAGCTTCGACTAACAACTTACCAACATACAATGCCGACAAGGGGGTAGACTCGGCAGATTTCAAAACCGTGGTGGATCCTGATGCCAAAACTGGTCCCAATTTCCACGACAACATCAAGATGGGGAAGTTCCATGGAATGATTTGTCCACAAACTAATGGCACTCTCTGAGTATAGTTCAAGTGAGTGGCACCTGTGTTGATCAAATTACCCAAAATCTTATCACACCAACCAGCACAGGATCTAAAGTAAGCGGCAGTCAATGCAACATCACCCTTTGAGTTCATCAAGGATTTACCATTGTCAAAAGTTTCAATCTCAGCCAACAAGTCAGCGTTCTCTTCAATCAAATCAGCCAACCTGTACAAGACTTTAGCCCTAACTTCTGGAGCACTAGTAGACCATGAGTCGTATGCAGCGCGTGCAGCATCTACTGCAGTGTTGACATCTTCTTCAAGAGCTTCATACACCGAAGTGATAGACTCTTCATTGGTAGGTGAGATAACATCAAACGTTTTTTTCTGTTTTGGATAAACAAACTCGTTGTTGATGAATAACCCTGTAGGTTGCTCATACTCCCTACCGGTTGGAATTTTAACTTTTACTTTTAATGGCAATTCTTGTCCCATATTTGAATAAATTTCAAGGTACAATTTTAAAAAAGAAAAGAAGATGTAAGAAAGACAGGAAGAAGCTAAGGAAATCAAAAATTGGATAATTACAAGTCCCTATTTATAGGATCCACCACCAACACCAACACAAATACCACCCCGCAGCTTTCAACCTCTCAATGTTGAGTAAGTTATGTGTATTACTTGATTACGCGTTTCACTCTTGTAAACCTTTTTTTTTTTTCTTTATATTTTTTTGATATTATATTTTTTTCAAACTTTTATTTTTCTGTGGGGTTTGCATGTTTAATGAAAAGCATGATATGTTTTCTGCTCTCTCTTATTCCGCGATAATAGTTGAAAGTGGAGTAGCATTTTAGAGGCGACTTCAAAGATGGCAATTAGACGATGTATTGACTAATTAAAGAGTGTTAATACAATTGTAATACATATACATAGTAGCAATTCAGGAGCTCTAAAAATTTCTTTGGTTATAGTTTACTCTTCTTCAACCCAACCTCCCCTTTTGTTACAATAAAAAATATCTTTTAAGGATAATTTTGGCGCAAAAAAATGTAGTACGATGTACTTGGCATTTAGATTTTCGATAATCTTAAAAGCCCCTAAATAATAATATTACTACTAAAAAGAATAGCCATCACAATCTTTAACTAGATTGAATTAAAGATCACTCTTATAAGAAAGGTCCTCAAGTATTGAAAACTAAACGATTTTTATATACTCTATTTAGTGTTCTTGTCTGGAAGTTGCAACTTGATTCTAACGGCTTTACATTGAGTGTACTCTTGGAACACTTCTTGACCCATTTCTCTACCAATACCAGAAGAATGTACTCCACCAAATGGAACCATTGGATTAAAGTCATTGTATGTGTTGATCCATACGGTACCAGCATTGATCTTGTTGGAGACATGGACGGCTTTGTTGAGGTTTGTAGTGTGAATACCAGCAGCTAAACCGTAATCGCTATCGTTTGCCATTGCAATAGCTTCTTCAACAGTTTCAAACTTAAGCACGGTAACAACAGGACCAAAGATCTCTTCTTGCGCAATTGTCATTTTTTCGTCAACATCGGTAAAGATGGTTGGTTGAAGGAAGAAACCTTTACCTTCTTTTCTGTGACCACCAGTAAGGATCTTGGCTCCTTCTTTTTGACCGGTTTCAATATATTTCAAAATCTTTGAAAGTTGTGCCCCAGAAGCTTGTGCACCCATAAAGGTTTCTGGGTCAAATGGATTGCCAACTTTGATGCTTT